TCTCCTTCACAAAGCCTTGATTTGCAGCAGCAGCAAAAATCCCTTAAAGCTTCTGACCTCGCACCTGTTTTTCTCCGCAGCCGCAGAAAAAACTTTGCACGCCCCTGCCTCCTTCGCTCTTGCATCCCAAAAACCTAGGAGGAAACAAGTTATTATATATATGAGCAATTGATCGGGTGGGCCTGACCATGTATTTGTTCACCAAAATAAAATCCGCATCTGCTGGCATTCGTGTGGCCCCCACACGTTTTTGTTCACGTGAACTCTGTCTGCCACGTTCACATGAAGAATGTGGAATTTGCTATCAAATTCCAGGGTTTCCCTTAGCATGTTCATAGTCATGCTCAATTATTTGGTTATAAGTCTAAAATTGATAGCTAAACAAATTTAAAGAGCCAAACTAGAATGTCCATGACATTCTATCCATACAAAAATAGATGGTACATCATAAAAAAAAAATTATCAGTAATAAAATCGTTCATATGCAGATAGCTTTTCATATTAAGCTTGGTCATACTAACAGGGACATTTTTAATCCTATTTAATTAACTAGTTAACAGAAGCCTATTTAGTATTTAGCATGGTTCCCCAGCCATGAAATGCACCATCTTAAATATTTCAGCATCTCCCTTGATACAATTGAAAACTTTTCAGAAACTTTTTCTTCAAATTAATGTCATGTAGAGGCCTCTAAAAAAAACTATAGCATGCTTTCGAAAAAGTTGACATATCTATAAAATTTGCTAGCCATAAAAAGATAAGTGACAACTTACCACTGTGGGGATACTATGCGTCATTTGGCCTGATCTCTGTATTTCCATAAGTGCAATTTCAGCGGCTGATTGTTCTGCTGCTTTGCGAGTGGAAAATCCAGGCAAAGATTCATACTTGACATCATCAACGGTAACAGCTGACCTGAAAACAGGTTCACTGGAAGGACCCTCCTCAACAGTTTGATATGCTGGAGTAGGAATGCCAACTTTCTGAGCATACTCTTGCATCCGGCTCTTGAATACGTAGCAATTTCCTATGCCTGGAAATAAAATAAAAACATTTAGCTATACTTAGTATGATCTCATCCATGCAAGCAGAGAAATTTCCATAGTTCTACAAGTTCAGGTGTATAAAAGCCTAAGTATGATCTAATATAACCGTAACTTGCCGTTGGGGACTGACACAATGCGAGGTAAGATTAGGCTACAATCTGCATTCAGATATATCATTAACGCAAACCTGCACAAAAGCGTTCTCAGATGTGGGATCTCATGTTCGACTCTCATGACGAACATGATGCCTAATTATCTCATGTGATCAGGTTGTAGGCATGAGGGACGAATTTGCTAAGCAATTGTAGCCTGTTATAACAAACAATAAAAATTGTTCACTATTTCCATTAACCCACTGCACAATGAATTCTGACTTATGAGAAGTCAGGTTTTCACCTACTTAAGTGTGAAAACAATAACTATCCACACAGAGAGATGGAGAAAGTTTTGCTTCTAAAATTTTTGCAACTGGAATAGAGAGTACAGATGAGGAGTAAAGTCATGCTCACCAGGATGCTCACAAAATACAAGTTGTAAAGTTACCAATTTCAACTAAGTAACACTTTTAATTGGGGTTTTCTGATATTCGGTCCTCCAAATTATGTGTATTTTGAAACAGGTCCTAAAAAAAGAATTACGCAAATAAGTCTTCAAATTATTTTGAGTTACTTGGGTCACGTTAACAAGTCAATTAAACTAACCTCCCCGTAAGGAACCTAGGAGAGAACCTGAATCCCTTATAAACTCACAACAAAATATATCAAATTGCAAAATCACCATATTCTTGAAACCCTATTAACAAAAGATAAAAGAGTTTGTACTCGGTATAAAGAATTTACCACTAAACGAAACAGAAAGTGAGGGCAGGTTCATTGGAGAATTCTCTGCAGCTGAACGATCCAAAGGAGGAGGAATTGTGATTTCCTACGTTGAGAAATTTCTAGATTCTCGCTAGGGTTTAATTAAACCCTATATTTTTCTTTAATTTACCTTTTTTTATCACTGTGATTGCAACTGTACCCGCTACGAGATTCGGACAAGGGAAAAAAAATAAAGAGTTATTTGCACATATACCCCCTTACATCATGTGTATTGGCAGAATACCCTCCAAATCTCATTATTTGCAATGCTACCCCTCAAATCATCAATTTTGAAAAAAATACTCTCGAAGCAATTAATCATCAACTTTGATAAGCTAATTTGTAATCGCAATGTAAAAATTATAAACAAAATGGCCGAACAATTAGCCCCAAGCTGATGATTTGTTGATTTTAGGGTATTTTTTTATAAAGTTAATAAGTAGTTTTGCAATTTACTAATATTTGGAGGATATTATTGCAAATGCCCATGATTTAAAGGGTACGTATGCAAATAACCCGAAAATAAAATAGGATCGTGTTTCAATTTATCATTTTGGGTCTTTTAATATATGAGAAATGAGTAATGATTCTATTAGAACACCTCTCACTAAATTGGGTGATCTATACCATACACTAGTGGTTAGAGGGTTAGATTGAAAATTGTGACAGTTCAATCAATGGTTTAAACCACCCCACTCTTATATGAGTAGTTTTGAGGAGGGTACTTTGTAATGAAACTATACTTTATGCAACAAAATGTATCAGAACCACAGGGCCGGCCCTAGGGGCAGGCGGGAGAGGCATGCGCCTAGGGCCCCCAAAAAACAGGGGCCCCCTATGTAATTTTATATATATACATATGGAAATTGGAAAAGTAAGAGGATTTTTATGCAAAAGTGTTAGAGGCTATAAATACAAAAACGAAAAACCCTTGGTCTCTCCGATTTCCGAAGTGGCCGTCTGATCGCCGACCTCTCTTCTTCTTCTCTGATTCTCTCTGAAGTGACGTTTCTTCTTCCCGACTCCGTCCGGACCGTCTGCAGTCCGCTCCTCCGCCGTCAAACTCCACGACGCCGTCTCCGGCCACTCCCTCCACCCCTTCCACCAGCAAGGCAAACGCGACCTCGCCGCCAGCGCCTTTGCCCTTTGGAGACTCTGTCTCTGTCTGCAATCTGCGCCTCCTCTGGCCGGCGACTCCGTCAAGGTTACAAGGTATATAAGTATATTTGAATAATTGAATATTTCTATAATTCTATACAGATAACAGACTATACTTAGAATAGCATGATATCTTTGTTTCATCACTTCATGACCTAATAATACTTTTGCTTTGTTATTGATTCTATACAGCAAGATCCTACGCACATTTGCAGGCCCATCAGCTTAATAGATGTGAGTCGAGACTTAAAACAGATGCGCCAAAAAAAAACAAGTCTCAAAGACTTAGTCAAAAATACACGGAAGCCACTTCCATGTCTTAAGTCAAAACGTTGAGGTATATATGAAATTATGAATCAGACTATACTTAGTATATTTGCTGATTAGTGATTAATCAATTGAAACAAGAAACCATAATATGCATACAGGCTGTATAATCAAAGTGCGGTACCTGAACAATGAAAATCAGTAGCTAGTGATCCATACTTCAAATGATTGCATCGTGTCCCAAATAAATCTTTAAGTCCAAACTTTGTTTTTGTCTATTGAATAGGAAGAAGAGATAAAAGTGCATCTTTTAGGATTCAGGCGTGTTGATCTGAAATTTGTTTGAAGTTAAACTATTCAAATTTCAAGGTAATTTTATAACTTTATAAATTATAATATTTGTTGATCTTATGTATTTTAGTATTTGTATATAATTTTTTATGTAGGCATCCCTAAAGTTACTTGGGTGCAACACTTTATTTTTTTTAAAAAAATCTTGAATATAGGAGGGCCCCTTTAAGATTTTTGTTCAAGTTTTTGCCTAGGGCCCCTGAATGCTCAGGACCGGCCCTGCAGAACCAACAACCTTTGCAAGTAATACACTAGATTTGTATTTGAAAATATTTTTTCCCCTGCCATAGATGGATCCAACGTAACAAAGTGGGGTCGAGTAACTCTATTTTGTTGTGGATTTGCATGGACCCCACCCCTTACCAAGAAAGAAATAAAGAAAAAAAATCATCCAATTGAAATTCCAATCCTAGAAATATGTACTGGGTGATTCAACCTAAAAAAATTTAACTCGCCGTCTCCTCCTGCCTCTAGTTCTTCCTCCTCGCATCTTCCTCCTCTCATATGTCACTTCCTCCTCAAAGACTTCAATCCACATTTTTGATGTGATATTGTTTGATAAAATTGGATGGGACATGTGATCTTTCAAAGAAGGTAATGGAAATGGTGGGGACTAAAAAACATAAGATCCATCTTTTGGTGTATTTTCTTTCAAAGATGAAATTGATCTTCATCCGCGGGCCGTGAGAATGACGGGAATGACTTTTTACTGCAATGAAGTTGATAAGGAGCAAGTTGCAGAATAAAATGAGTGATGATTAGCTCAATGATCGTTTAGTGACATATTGAAAAGGATGTATTTTATAGGGTTACCAATGGTGAGACCATGTACTTTCTTCAAGGTATGAAACCCCACCGGGGATAATTATAAAATTTTAAATTATTAATTATATAGTGATACCGTTTTTTAAAAATCTTAAACCCACTATTGTTTCATGCAATAACCAAGGGAAAGATTAATGCTGATTTTCTGCAACAAATGATGCATATAATGTTTTGTTGCATTTGCAAGAGGGCAAAAAAAAAAAACATGAGCTGTTTTTGAATCCGCTATTTTCTCTTTTTGCACAAAGACAAGATAGAAGCAGATTCAATTAACCAAACGGCAAAAGATAGTATTATCCTCATGAAATCAAAAAAAGTCAAGCCCGAACTAAACCCGCTAATCTCCACAAACCCGACCCGCTTAGCTGATGTCCCGCGGCAGCAAAGTAAGCCTCACAATGAACGGCCTACAGTTGCGTCAGCCGAAGCTTCTGCGATTAAAGATTAGGTTCAGGTTAAGTAACCTAACTCCTCCGGAGTATTTGCACAACGTTGCGGCATTATTTTGGCAACCACATTAGATTCCCGATACTTCCCCTTCGTTGAGTCTCTCCTCTCCGCGTTGTCTCCAGGCTTTTGGTCTTTAGAGGGAGGAAAGAGATGGAGCACGAATTTCAGGTGGTTTTCTATTTTATTTTTTGTGATTATTTCTAATTTCTGTTAATGGGTTTTGTTAATCAAGCTCTTTGGTAGTTTTTCAGGTGATTTTTTTTTTGTTTTTATTTTTATTTTATTATCTCTGGTTTCTGTTCATGGGTTTTGTGAATCAAGCTCTTTGATGGCGATTTTGCCTTCTTCTAAGCCTTGCAGCTGTTCTGTTTGATAATTGGATAGAGCTTGCTGATTTAATTAGAAATTGGTTCGATCGATTAGATGAGAAAAAGTTTAAGGTGATCGTCTCCTTTTTATTGTTTACCTTCATGGGTATTGAAATTTGATATCTTTAAACTAAGATTCGAGTTTTGGTTCTTAATAATCATTCTTGGAGATGAGAGGCTCACTTTCCGTTGTGAAGAGGTATCAATTGATTTCGCGCTAAAAAAGATCATTTCTATCTAACTGCTTTTATTCTTCTTCCTTTTGTTTTGGGGACAAATAAAGGGAATTATGCATCCAAGTATAGTTTGGATTGTAATCTAGAAAGTTATGTTATACTAAAGGGAAGTCTATTGTATGGAAGTATTCACTTAGAAAAACTAAAGTTTCACGCTTGAACGATTTAGGTAGAAAGTCATGGCTGTTTTTTTTTTTGTTGAGGCCTTAATGAACTCCGGTTAACTTTTGTTTGTTACATTTTTTTATAAGTAATTTGAGGACATAGACACTACATTAACCCTTGTTTGTTACATTTTTTTATAAGTAATTTGAGGACATAGACACTACATTAACCCCCACCAAAAAAAAATCAATAAAGAGAAAATCAAAGCATCCTTATACGTAATTCGAGGTAGACACTACATTACCCAACACCCCCACCCCCACCCCACCCAAAAAAAACGATAAAGAGAAAATCAAAACATCCTTATTACTTATGCAGACAACGAATAGGATAAGTAAAAGTTTGTTTTTAATTTCTTATGGTATTATTTAATTTTGAACCTTGTAGGGGTTTAGTTGCAATGTATTTTTCTAATATTTGGATCTCTTTTAAGAGATAACTGCGATGCAATAATGTTGTTCCCACTGTTTTAAAAAACCTCCGCCTAGTCCGCTTAGGCGTACGCCTAGGCCTAGGCGGTACTTAGGCCGTCTAACTAGCGCCTAGCGCCTAGACGGTATTTAGGCTGCCCATCTAGATTTTATGAGCATTTAGGGGAGCATTGTCTGCTTACGTGGATTGCACCCTGTAGGTCTTGGTTGTGATTATATGTGTTGTAGCCTACACGTCCTCCAAACTCCATTAACCTCCAAATATGAACACCTCCACTACCTCCTCCGACCTTCAGCAAAACCTCATCGACCACCACTTAAATGAAGAAAGAAATCCGTCTAGACACCAGTCCGGCATCTAAGCTTTCTATAACATTGACATTCACTATCAATTATTGTAATTAATAATAAAAAAGAAAATATCTTAGGCTCTAGTATTGTTAATTATTATTTTAGCTATTTAGTATCTGAGTATGCATGATTTATTGTGGAACTAAAATTGTTATCTTTTTTTAAAAATTTATATGAATTTAATACATATTTTTATCAATTATTATAATTAAATAATTTAAAAATAATAAAACTTCTGGGCGCATGCCCAGGGGTCTAGGCGCTAGGTGCTCGCTCAAACGCCTAGTCTGCTTAATGTCATCTGTAACATTACCCAGCTCCCCTGATCTCTGTAACTACTAACAAGAAAAAAGTACTTCTTAAATATCTATTTAAGTTAGTTAACAATAGTAACTTAAACTTAAGAAGTGTAAGTTAACAGTAAACTTAAGTTTAAGTTAAACTTAAGTTTAAGCTAACAGTAAACTTAAGTTTATGTTTAAGTTAATATTAAGTTTTTTGTTGATGGTAAACTTAAGTTTAAGTAAACAGTAAACTCAAGTAAACAATATTTTAGTTAACAGTAAACTTAAGTTTAAGTTTATTGTTAACTTAAACTTAACAGTAACTTATAAGTTAATAGTAATTTGAGTTGAGAATGCGTTTTTCACTGTTGAGATGAACTTATAATTTGAGTTGAGAAGTATAAACATACAAAGAGCTATTGTAATTGGTAAACCAAGCAATTTAGTTAATAGTGTTGGTATTTTAGTATTTATGCATCTTTGATTGAGTATATATATATTTATCTTCAAGTATCATAATTAAAAAATATAAAAAAAAACGCCCAGAAACCGCTTAGACGCCCGCCTAGGCGACTAAGCGCTGGGCGTCAAGTCCGACACCTAGAAACGTCTAGCGTTTAATGTAACATTAGCCATTATTGTGCACTCGAGGTTGACTATGTTAACTTGTTATGTTTCAGTACGATGCTGCAATGTATTGGTATAAACTTTTTAATGATATGTGATGGAGGTTTAGCATTGTTTATTTCAAAGAACGTGTTTCATGGTTATCATTTTTTAGTTACATCACTTGGTGTTTTGTATAATTCTCTTAGTGTCAGGATCAGGTTTAGTTTGTTCAACCTTACTCCTTAATCTTGTAAAAGCTATTCAAGAGATAAATTAATGAAAAAGAAGTTTAACTCTTTCTTTAAAAAAAATTTAACTTGTTGAAGGCATAAAATATTAAGCTCTGTTTATGCACAAGCTATAATGAGTCAACTTCTTGTTATTTAAGATGATTTATTTTTATCTTAAAATCCACGTGTACTATTTGATACAATGATTTATTTTTATCTTAAAATCCGTGTGTACTATTTGATACATCATCTACACATAAATGGTTCCAAGTTTAAACTGCATGAGTGACCAGTGTAGATAGAATGTCAATGTGAAGGTTGCTCATTGGCAAATCAGGAGATTGGGTAATGGAAGGTGCTAGGTTTAGGAGTAGGCTCTAGTCTTTGATTAGAAAAATATTTTAAAGCAAAGTCACAGATAAGTGTATGTATTCAGGGAGCAATTTTCGTATACAACTATCATCTCAAACGACCCTACTTATTAAAACTTTTGACCTCTCTTCAAAAGTGATAACCTTGATGCGGGTTTCATTTGGGAAAGTTATATGAGATGAGTGCATTATGAATCTTCATAAACATAATGCAGGATACTGTCTTAGATGAGAAATGTGGATGGGTGCATGTTTTTGATTATAGTTGGCTAATACTCTTTACTTTTACTCAATGTAATATTGTAATTCTTATATTTATCTGATGCTTGATGGCTAGGGTCAATTTTGTTCATTTAGTTAGTAAAACGAGCAAGGGAAAACAAAGTATTGTTTGTATAACCTTTGCTTTTATACCAGCACAAGTGTCACATTACTTCAAATTTGAGATTTACTTACCACTAGCAACTTTTTCTAATCTATAATATTTTTGATCTGTCTAAAGGAAATACAAAATCTTCAATGGAAATTTCATCTTCCATAGCCCATCTCTCTTGAGAATCCGTTTTATTTTGGAAATTTATCTGTGCTTGAGAACTTAATTTCAATTCCTAGCCATAAATTTATCATTTTTCCTTTCTTTTATACTCTTTCATCAAATGGTAGTATTATGGAAAATTGCTCCTTGATTTTACGAGCCTGAACAGTGTGAACATTAAGGCAGATCATCTTAGTTCCAACTGATCTGAGATTTATGGCTATCCCCTCTCTACAATGTTCGCTACAGATTTGGTAAATTTAGAGATTAATATTAGTTGGCAATGCAATTGTCAAATATTTCATGGATCCTTGTGCTACATAGGGCAGAGAACGATGATGACCCCTAAGAAAATAGAAGATGGCTGAACACTGATCAATTAAGCCTAGGAATTTTAACGTATATGATGTATTTGCCATGTGGTGGTTATTGTTATGTTGAGGTTTCTATATCAGATAACTTAGGTAGCAAATTAATCCTCCCTCCCCCTAAAGTAGCAGCCTTCCGTTAAATAATTATCTTGAGTCAAATTACTTCTATTGTTCTTGATTAGGAATTGGGTAATTCTGGTCATGTTTATTAATAAAATGACAAATTGCTTAGAAGAGAATGCTAAAAGCCTGGAGTATTTTGTCATCTATAGGATGGCAAAGAGGGAGTTATCCAAGCTTGGTACATGGATGACAGTGATGAAGACCAGAGACTTCCTCATCACCGTGAGCCCAAGGAATTTATCCCATTGAACAAACTTTCAGGTGTGTATCTTTTATGTCTCATCAATTTTCTCATGTGTCCGTTTGAGATAAGGTTAGTGTGTTCACCTAGATAAACTGTACTCTATGGCCAGAACTTGGTGTTATTAGCTGGCGCTTGAAGGGTGGTGATAACCATGAAGATGATGAAAACCTGAAGAAAATTCGTGAAGCAAGGGGCTACACTTACGTGGTTTGTCATTCAGCTACTTTTTGATTGGGTTAATTGTGGATAGACCCCTGTATCATCACCAAATTTAACTTACTACCCCTGTAGTCTATTGTTGCAGATAGACCCCCCCTGAGTGAAAAAAATTTGACCCTTTCCTGGGGGGCTGTCTGCAACAATATATTTTCACTAGGGGGTCTATCTGCAGCAATAGAACTCTTTCAGGGGGTTCAATAGAACTACAAGTAGTAAGTTCAATTTGGCAATATCACACGGGATCTATCTGCAATTAAACTGTTTCATTCTTTTTCATAGTGTTGACAATGAGGATGACAGCTATGCGATTGCTTTACCATTCTTGATTTTAATTTCATAGGATATTTGTGAAATCTGCCCAGAAAAGATGCCAAACTACGAAGCCAAAATAAAGAGCTTTTTTGAGGAGCACCTGCACATTGATGAAGAGATCCGTTATTGCCTTGAAGGAAGTGGTAAGAATGTCCTTAATTAACATCACTGTTTGTAAAATATACTAGATTTGTATGTGATTATCTATTTATCTTTCCTTCATTTTGCAAAAGGTTACTTTGATGTGAGGGACCAAGATGACTGTTGGATCCGAGTGGCTGTGAAGAAAGGGGGTATGATTGTGCTACCTGCTGGTATTTATCATAGGTTTACTCTGGACACAGATAACTACATCAAGGTATTTATCCTTGCTTATCTCTCCTACAATTTCACTACGTATTGAAGAAAAATAACATGTGTTATGCATGCTACCATGACACCATTTATTACATTTTTAGAGGCCCATTATAACAAATACTCAGTCTACCAACTACTTTATGAGTTGCAAGTAACCCCTCAAATTAATATAAACAAATGCACAATTAAAACTGCAGCAATCATCCTCCTTGCAGAATTATGTTTGCCTTGTTTCAGATTTCAACTAACATTCAATATACAAATTAATAGCCCGGCTAAACAGCCAATAGCCACCAACTCTTGATTCAATGATACAGAAGGGACCGGGATATTGGAGGTGCTGGGTTCAAGACCAAGCTTTGGACTCGCAAAAAGTAGCCCACAAAGATACAATACTTCTTTTTTGTATAACCAAAATGGTTTATTTGGTATATGACAAGGTTGATTTAACCGGGCTTGTTTCCAACTTTGATTCTGAGTTTCGGCCCTTAAGGCTTGGAACTAATAAGCTCAGCTGCTGGATTTCTGTATGATAATCTATACTTGTGAAAGTTTTTGGAGGTGGTTGTCAGATGATGTCTGCCTTCATGTGTAGAATGATTCAGAAAGGATCTTAGTAGTCAAACGCTAGCTTGGTGAGTCTATGAAACAGACTGTTTGTGGAGCATAACAAATTAAGTAATACCTGTTGCAATCCATGTCTGTGTCTAATATCCTTTTATCTATGTTCTTTGCCTTGAAAATAAATTTTCCTAGAATCAGATCATGATTCATTAGTACCATTGTCGTCCAGAATGTTTAAGCTGAAGCTGTTTGATTATTAAATATTCTCGTTCAAATCACTGCTTTGATCTTAGGCTCTTATTCCAGACCCATTCACTTCCCATGGTTGTTTTATTTAGAAATTTTGCATGAAGTCAAATGTTGGGGGAGTAATAGGGTCTCTTTAAGAGTTGTGGCCCTTAAACTGAGTCTGGAAATCAAATTTACCCAAATGTGTAATAATATGTTACTCGTTCTAACTCATTTGATACTCATGCATGAATCGCTGAAGGTAAGTTCCACAACAAAACTATCAAGAACTTTGGCGTATTTTATACAAACAATTGTTGTTGTTGTTTTTTTTTTTGGTGGTGGTGGTGGGGGCGGGGCGGGGGGCGGTGTTGTTTAGAGAAGCACTGCCCCATGAAATTTTTTACACTAAACTACCATGCATGATGGCAATTAGGGTAAGTTGTTATGTGCTTTGCAGGTAACGTATTTTGGACAATCTTGCCATTATGTAATCTATATTTCTTCTATATTACCCTTACGAACTTTGTTGCGTGATAGTTATTAGTTGAGGTAGTTTTTAGCCTTTCTATCCAAGGGGTTTAACACCGGTAGAAGCAGTTTCCTATATAGTTAATGCTATTTCTCTGCAGTTTTAAAAGTTCATGGTAGTTTTCTCCAATAAAGAGTGTTATGATTGTTTTGTGCAAAACTCCTGAAGTTCGTAGTACTTTATTGAGATCTACCTTAATTCCCATCGACAAGTTGACTGGAAAAGCTTGTATGATTATCTGTGGAGCTTCCTTAAGAGTAGTCGCTGGCGACATTTTTTGCATGTGAAAAATCGCTGGGAGATGATGATGACAATAACTTCACTGATAATGCATGTATCATTGAGCATTGGAGTGCATATTCCTATTGAATATGGAAGTCTTGACAAATTACGCCATTTGTGCAGGCACTTCGCCTTTTTGTGGGCGAGCCAGTGTGGACTCCCTATAACCGTCCCCATGATCATCTTCCTGCAAGGTAAAACCAAATTTCTCTACATTCTTTGAGCTATTATATACTTTATCTTTACAGCTTTAAACTGGTTTTTCTTGGTATAATACTCTGTTTTTTTAATACGGTTTGTATATCGCAGGAAGGAGTACATTGATGCTTTTGTGAAGAAGGAAGAAGCTGGCAATCCTGCCATTACAGCTCATTGAAGTACTAAGTAGACTGTATTGCTGGGGGGAAAAAATGTTCATGGTTTTGTGATACTTGCTTATAATTTCCGTGTAATGTGATGTGAGATGATGTTCCTAAAATAAAAGTACTCTTGTCTATATTTCTGGTCACTGATGTTTGCCTTGTTTACCAGTGAGACTTGCTGTTGGTGGATATTGCTGTAGTACCCACCTTTCCCCTTATGATTCAGTCTGTTATTTGCCTGAAGTATGGGTTCGTTAAGATTCGAGTGATCTATTTCGAGGTATCTACTGTTAGTTTTAAAAAAAAATTCAGAGAATTTGTTAAAATAGAAATATGGATGCATAGAGAAGAAGGCCGAAGTGCAATGGGGGTGAGAATAGGGTCCGATTGGATGAGGAGGAAGAAGCATTGGAAGTAACACGTATATTAAAGTATATTAAAGAAGTAACTTCTCAACTAATGAAGTAGGGAATAACAGAACTAATGAAGTAGGGAATAGCGGAAGTAATACCTTTTTAATTTGTTTTGTATAGTTTTTGATGCAGTGGAAATAGAACTTCTTCCACTTCATTCATTTTCTTTGTTTGGATAGCAATTGAAAATATTATTAGGAAGTAATTAATATTTCTTACCTCCGTGATTATTTTTGTTTAGAATGTCACTAGTGCGCACCCCACGGCTTCCATTTTTTTATTTTTGCTACAGTAACTCAGCTTTTAAATATAATTTTTGTAAATACCACAGTAATATTTTTAAATGCTACAGTGTCCCGTCTGAGCTATAGTAACAATGTTACAGTATGTTCTTAAACGCTACCGTTACCGCATGTGCTGCAGTAATAATGCTACAGTGATTTATTGTATCGTGAATTTCGCTGCTTGGATCTTCTACCTGTGCTACAGTAACAAATGCTACAGTATTTACTGTGGTATTTACTGCGGTATTTACTATGGTATGGATAGTGAATCTTGGGTCCTCCCATTATTATAGAGGAACAGATTGAGGTAGAAGATGCAGTAGGCACATACACCTTGGAAAGGTAAACTCCCTTTCTCACCTTCAACTATTCCCTGTGAAATACGAATATTTCTAAAGAGTTGTCTATTCGATGATCAAAACTTTTATCACAAAATGCCTACAATTTGTTTATAAATAGAAATTTGGTGATAGCTCATTGTAAATTTTGTATTGCTATAGACGTCGAGGCGGAAGGAGGTGATTAGTAACTTGAGACCGAAAAACACGTATCTTACTCAATCACTTTGGAGATCTGACGCCTAACCTTAAAAAAATAAACAAATTATTGCTTCTAATTCGAAGATGGGAGCCAATATGTGTCTTGTACCAATGATAACAAAAATTTCTTCAAGCTGATAAAAAAAAGGAGCCTCAGGACTTGTTTGACAATTCAGCTCAAGTTTTTTCTTTATTATATAAATAAACTTTCACGGAGAAGGGATGATTTAAAAAAAAAGAAAAATAGAAAAAGAAAACCTAAGTTGTTCATAAAAATAACACAGGCTATTGACATATGACACCAGAATCAAGATTTTAGCGTGCTGACGAATTGTCTCGCTTCACAAACAGAAATCTATATATATTTTTTTCAATAGTAATAAAATGCTTGACAATTAAATGTAGAATTGGCAGGAAAAATTCGGTTTCAGCAGAATTGGGTGGCGGTCGACCGGCCCGGTCGACCGCATTCGTGCACGAGGCTTACTGGGCTTCGGTGGTGGTGGCGGTCGACCGGCGCGGTCGACCGAATCTATGGGCGGTCGACCGTGTCGGTCGACCGACGGTTCTCTGGACATTGGGTTTGCTGCTGGATGAAGGGCGGTCGACCGGCCCGGTCGACCGCGATGGATCGCGGTCGACCGTGCCGGTCGACCGCCGCTGCGGGTTTCGGTTGGGTTCTGTTTCCAGACCCGTTTCGTTTGTAAGTTGTATATAAACCCTAAACTCGTTTCTAGGGTTAAGCTTTGGGTAACCCTAGTTTGTTCCTCTTGATTTCTAATAGTGAAAACTCCCCCCTCCTTGCCCCGTGGACGTAGGCATCTTGCCGAACCACGTAAAACTGGTGTTTGGTTGTTTGTGCTGTTGATTTTGGTTGGTTGTTTATCTTTCTTGGCGATTGTTTTGGTTTCTCGAGGCACAACAATTGGTATCAGAGCTCCGGGCTACGCTTGGGCTATTTTGGAGGAGTAGATCGCTTTGGAAGTTCATCTAGGGCTTCGTTTGGTGATAAAGGTGGGATCTTTTCAGTAAAAATCTCGTCTTTTTCAATTTGGATCTATTTCTCGTTTGTTTCCGCATTGGTTTGGTGGTGCTTTGAGATATATGGCTGAAAAAGATAAAAGTGGGGAGGGTTCTTCTGGTGTGAAGGCCGTCCAAAGTTTGAATATACATTCTATGAAAATAGATGTGGAAAAATTCAACGGCACAAATAATTTTGGACTTTGGAGATGTGAAGTCATGGATGCGTTAAATGCGCAAAATTTGGAAGATACGTTGGAGTTGGACGGGAAACCGGACAACATGGATGAAAAGGTTTGGAATAAGATGAATAGAACGGCGTGTGGTGTGATTAGGTCTTGCCTTACCCAAGACCTTAAATATGATGTGATGAATGAAACTTCGGCAAAGAAGATTTGGGAGGTCCTAGAGGGCAAATATTTGACGAAGAGCATCGAAAATCGTTTGCATTTGAAGAGGAGGCTTTATCGCTTCCAATTGAAGAAGGGGACATCCATTAGTGATCACATGAACCACTACACGAAGCTACTTGCAGATTTGGCGAATGTAGATGTCAAGGTTGAAGACGAGGACAAGGCATTGTTGTTATTGAGTTCCTTGCCCGACGAGGAATATGAGACCTTCGTTCTCACTCTTATTAATGGAAAGGCATCACTTTCATATAGTGAGGTCACCGCAGCCCTTGTGAATTATCAACTTCGAAAGAAGGACAAGGAGACTTCCATCGAGCCGGTTGCTGGTGCATTGGTTGCAAGAGCTAGAAGTCCAAACCGTGGAAGAAGGTCGCAGTCTAGAATGGGGCATCCTGCAGTTGGTAAGAATCAGTGTGCCTTTTGTAGAGAGGATGGATATTGGAAAGCCGAATGTCCAAAATTGCAAGCTGTGAAGAATAAAGGGAAAGCTATTCAAGCTTCAGAGGTGAATATTGCCAAGGCTAGTGGCGATGTTTCAGATTCAGATTCTTCGGGCTATTCGTGCCCAGCTCTTCCGTCAGTTGATGTTGCCGACTCCACCGAGTGGATGTTGGATTCTGGTGCTACTTACCACATATGCCCTAGAAGGGATTGGTTCTCCAGCTTTCAGGAGTTGGAAAGAGGGGATGCTGTTCTCATGGGTAATGATCACAGATGCCCTATTGGTGGTATTGGTACCGTTCGGATTCGGATGAGTGACGGGATGATCCGGGAGTTGGCTGATGTGAGGTTCGTTCCTCAACTGAGGAAGAACATCATTTCACTTGGGGTATTGGAGGCATCAGGCTATAGGGTGACCTTGGCGGATTCTCGCTTGAAGGTCACATCGGGGTCCATGATTGTGATGAAGGGAGTCAGGCGGAGTAACTTGTATTATCTACTTGGGAGCACGGTAGTTGATAGGGCGCTGACTACTTCTATGGCTAGACTGTGGCATTGTTTGGTGCTGGGATATATTGTTGGTTATACCGTGCACAGATTGTTGAGGAGTGCTATGACCTGCAGATTGAAGTCCTGTGAGCACATTGGTATGAGCGAGAAGACCGAGGTGGAGTTCAGCACTTCTATCCATCGATCGAGAGGTCTTATTGGAGGTGTTCAGTCAGGCATTGGGGGGCTTTCCGAGGAGGCATCATCGGGAGGTAATCGTTATTTTGTTTCCTATGTTGGGGATTGTACTAGGCATATTTGGGTTGCAACCAAGTCACGTTGGTATAAAGCCCTAGTAGTCCGCAATAGTTGGAGGAGGTGTATGGGCAGAAAGGTTACCAGTCGTACTTATTCTAGTAGGAGTCCTTTCTTGCATTGGTGCCGAGCTCACGGCAGTTGGAGACACTTCAGAGGGAAGGAGACAGTGGGACGACGTGATGAGATGGCGGATTTAGTGAGCCGTTCCTTTCTGGAGGAGGATCGGTATTGGTTGTCGAGCAGTGGATCTGGTATTCAGGCTTCGACAGGTTTGGGTCATCTTATGTGGTTGCCGACTGCTGCGTGTAGAGTTGTTAGATCTGGTGGAGCCGTTTCAGATTTTGGTTGGCGTCGGATATTTGGCTACCCAGCACTTGGTCACATCGTTGATGTGAGATTGGATCCGATTGCGCATTTGGGATTCAGGAGTTCATTTTCTGGGGGTGGAGATCCCACCTCGAGTCTCCTTTCCTTCTTTGTTCGGGGAATAGAATATAAAATTCTTCCTTCCCCATACCAATCCTTTTCGAAGAATTCAGGATTCATCCTAGGAAGTTTATCCCGAATCCTAAGCAGGGATAAGTCTGCGCCTAACACGCGCTGCCGGTTTAGTCTTTTTTCTGCACAAAAAGACACCAGAGTTCGATTCTGGGGTATTCTATCCTGAAACCTAAGCAAGGATAAGTCTGCGCCTGACACGCGCTGCCGGTCAGTTCTTAACCGTTTAAAAAGAACACCCGTTCACATATTCAACATTGTGACAGGTTGTTATTAATAACACCAAAATCCATGCCTTACACGCATGGGGAATTTCATCCTGAATCCTAAGAAAGGATATGCCGACGCCTAACACGCGTCGCCGGTTTAGTCTTTCCCCGTAGAAAAAGACACCAGAGTTCGATTCTGGGGTATTTTATCCCGAAGCCTAAGGAGGGATAAGTCAACGTTTAATACACGTTGCTGGGTAGCCTATTCCCATGACAACGGCGAAGTCTATGTATTCAAAGTCATAGCAACAAGTCTTAGAGGATTCAGTCTCTAAGCACAACGTTACATGCGGAACGGATTTAGACAATTCGCATGCTAGCCCGACTCAAACGGTAGTCGGTAAAGGCTAATCAAATCCGTTAAAGGCTTGGGGTTAGCCAAAAATCCTAAAGTCAACGCCTAACACGCGTCGCCGGGTAGTCTATTCCCGTGAGAAAGACGAAGTCTACGTATTCGAAGTCGTAGCATCAAGTCTAAGGG